CAATATTGAACGTAGCTGGAAGAAAGATTAATGTCCCATAATGCAACTCAAAAGCAGAAATTAAAAGAAAAACAAAAATAAAATACGAAAAACTGCTAATTTACGGATATTTTCACAGAGTATGCTGTTTATTATTATTGTTTAATTCGAAAATGTTGGTTGTTCATTATTATTAATTGTTTTTCTCGCTACTAATATAATATGTCATATGTTCTGTATAATGTAAACATTACAGATGCTTTACCAATGCTATATATAACTTTTGCCATGTCAATAAAGCAAGTTTGAATTAAATTGCTTTGAGAGAGAGAGAGAGAGAGAGAGAGAGAGAGAGAGAGAGAGAGAGAGAGAGAGAGAGTTGACTATTAACAAGACTTTGTACAAACCTCAATAAGCACACAAGTGAAGTAAAGTACAAATACTTCCCGTGCTGATTTGCATGTGTATGGCTGCTTAACATTAAAATGCAGAGCCACACCGAGCAGGAAGACTTCAAATCAAACACTGAGCTTCACACGCTTTATAATGCACGACCGGCCATCACAAGCAAAACACAACCAATACATGGAAAATACCACACAATCAGCGTTTTACTTTAATATCAGATGCGCAATTAATATTAACAACGATCGAAAGTCCTATGCAAATGATTTCCCCTGTTAAAAACACTGTAAAATATCCGGTAATTAGCAGTTTTCGGTATTTTGCGCTTCATGTTTTTATTTTTGTTATTTTCATTGTTTATTTCTGCTTTTGACTTGCATTATCAGCTCTTAATGTTTCCTTTGACAACTTTTAGCCTTATTAAGAGAGTTTTCTGAACAATATTATTAGTTTAAAGTGAAATATCGTCTGGGTTGGTGTTGCACATTGCGCTATAATACATTGTAATACTACTAGTTGCCTATATTTTCTGTTGATTTACAGACTTATTTCTTCTCTAGATAATATTTCTCATTCATTATATCACTTTAAACCACTAAAATGTCAATAAAAGTCACTTTGTTAAACTGTAGAGTTGAATTTACAACATCAGAAGTGGACAGAGCAGAGATCAACATCCTATAATGCAGTTCACCACCGCAAATAAACAGAAAACACAGAATCTGTTCATTAACAGGCATTATTTACAGTGTAAAGTCTCTATACACGAACAAAGAGACGAAATAAATACGATTACATTAAAAAAAACATGAAGATTTACGATTAAAGGAAACTTATGAATGAAAACAAGCCTGCGGGGGGAGGAGTGTGAATGAGTGTGTGTGTGTGTGATGTGTGTTCAGACTCAAACACACACACACACTCACTCACACACAGACACGCATAAAATAAAGTGTATAACGTGATTAAAGTGAGGGTTTGGAGTAATGAACGCGCATTTGGTGAGCGCGTCGCACGCGGGGCCCTGCAGAGATCTGCGCTCACACTCGATCCAGATTAAATCCGAATTAAACAGCGCAGATGTGCGTATAAACAGCGATACATACCTACAGATAGACTTCCATAATGTCAAATCCATCAGTCCATGTGCCAAACATCCATCAACGTGTCCAGAACGATGCCCGAAAACAGCGCGTGCCCGCGAGCGTAACATCCAGAGAAACTCCGCGCGGTGGCTTCAGCTCGAGCGCTTGATTCCCGCAGAAAAACCGGTGGAAAGAGCGGAGAAAATCCGTTAAAATCCAGGAGTGAAGCGCGCTCGGGATCCGTGGCGTCCGGCTCTGACTGTGCGTGAGTGTGCGCGATCAGATGCGTGCGCTGTTTTTGCGCGCACACACATACACACACACACACTGATGAATGAAAGAGGATCATGGGCAGATGCAGGAGGGGCGCAGCGCTGCGTTTAAGGTGGATCAAGACACACACACACACCTCAACATTTCATATTTACGCACATATCTCTCCAAAGCCCAAGTACTAACAGATTTTTACGTTAATTAAGATTAATTAAAAGTTAAAAGACTAATACAGTTATAGGCTTGTTTGCGCTATTATAACACAGACAGTTTACTACTATTATATTAACATTATCCCACGTGGGAAAAATATAGTAGATAATTATAATATAAACACAGAAACAGACACACAAACACACACGCAAATGTGTGCAAATGTTTGATGAATAAATGATCCAGCATACTCTATATTAACTATAGTGAACTGACAAACTGTAATAAATACTATAGTAAACTTTGGTTTCAACTACAGTAAACTGTGCTGTATTGTAGTATAACATATAGATGTAAACACTACAGTATTGGGTCATTTGTTTATATTACTATAGTTGCTGTGTTACCATAGCAACTGTAAAATCACCACAACAGATTAATTACCATAGTTGTTGTGTTACCATAGCAACTGTAGAATCACCACAACAACAAAATACTGTAATTGTTGTTACCGTAGCAACCATAGAATCACCACAACAGATCAATTACTGTAGTTTTTGTGCTACTATAGCAACAATAGAATCACCACAGCAAATCAATTACGATACTTGTAACCATAGCAACGGTAAAATTACCACAACGGATTAATTACTGTAGTTGTTGTGTTACCATAGCTACTGTAGAATCACTGCAACAGATAAAATACTGTAATTGTAGTGTTACCATGGCAACCGTAGAATCACCACAGAAGATCAATTACTATAGATGTTGTGTAACCATAGCAACTGTAGAATCATCAAGTTCTAATTCAAGTTCTTTATAAAATAATTAGAAACCACTATAGTATTTACTACGATATTTAGTTTTAAATCCAGATAGTATAATGTGATTTAGTGTTTGGTGTGATGTTGTAATAGTTATCTTTATTTGATCTGTCATTTAATCCACAACTTGTTCTGGTAATGAATGTGTAATTAGAGGATTATTATAAGTATTAAACGCGTTTAAGGCGGATTGTTCGGCGTGAAAAACACGAGAAGCGCTGGACGACCTTAATAGCTCAACCCCCCTCTCTCTGTGACTGAGAGAGTGTGTGTGTGTGTG